GGCACGGGGATCCGTGCAATGACAAGGTAAGTAATAGATTTCTTTTTTATTGGTTTTTTCTGATATTTATTTAAGTTTTTCAGTTCGTTGGAGAGGAAGCCGCGTGCTGCGGAGATAGTGGCAGTAATGTGCCAGCAGCTATGGGACCTGCAGGTGCGGGTGGAATACAGGTGAGCAAGTTAGTTAGATTGGCGTCCCTATCTGACTAACTTGTTCATTAGGAATGGGACGTATACAGCATCGTCCCCCAGGGCGGCGGTCATCCCCAGTTTGGGGTTGATGAGGTACACGGCGGTGAGGCTGGCGAACAGGCAGGGGAACCTGCGTGCGCAGCTATGGCACACGATTGGGTTCCCCCGACCTCGGGTAGTCCCCCAAACCCCCGCTCCTCGTCCTCCTCCAGCTGGTGGGCGGATCTCTCCACCCTTGGGTCGCCCTCTCCCGCCTCCGATGCCCGCCATAGTCCCAGCGCGGAGGTTACTGAAGCGGGAGTATGCGGAGTTCTTTCTCCGTTCCACTCCCTCCCCCCCTCCCCAAGAAGAAGCCCCCCCCCCGCCGTCGCCATCGAAGCGGATCAAACAGGAGAGCCCGGAGCCTCCGGTGTTGAGATTCGCGTCTCCCCCCCTCCCTCCTCGTCGTCGGGGACTTCGGAGTCAAGCGACTTCGACGCGTGGAAGTGGGAGCCGCTCGACCCGTTCGAGACCTACCTCCGGCGGTCAGCGTATCACATGGCCCCCGACACGTTCTGTCCCGCGGTCGGCGAACCCGGAGTAGATGGGAATACTCGGGCCCAAGTACTCCCGAAAGTGCTTGGCGAAGTGGCGGCGGTGCTGTCCCACCCTCGTTGGAGTCCGGGCGGTTGGGTGGAAGAAAGTGGCCGGTTCCCGTGGATAGGTAACATGGAGCGGTATGTAGATCGGGATACATACCATCAATTTGTACGTAGTTACCTGTGTGCCACCGCCTATCTGGCACATCTGCAGATGGCGGAGGTCGGGGACATGGTCAAATGGGAAGACTTCGAGTCGCCCATGGCCCGCTGTCGGTACTAGGCTAGTCCTAGTACTAATATATTTGTATTTGTTTTCCTTACGTGTGAGGCCTGAGTATAAATAGCGCGACATCGGTTAAGTTTGAAGTTATGACTCTTTATCTTGTACCTTCATTACCTGGAATTAGTCTTAGAAAGGAATGGCTCGTTCGCGTTACGTACGGAGACGGACACGTACTAGTCGGACAAGGAAGTTCCGTAAGCTTTCTTCAAGACGGTCGCGTTTTAGTCGACGGAGAGGAAATACGACACGAAGACGGTACAAGCGTACAACCTACCGGAAGAGGGTTTATGCTCAATTGCGAATGCGTCGTAAGCGAATTCTTACACGCCGGAGGAAGACCTACACCAAGGGTACCTTCCGACACGGCAGGCTTACGGAGATCTGCTTGGCGAGTGGTCTCCCCCACGAGTCCAACCCAGGACAACTCGGGAAGGGCGCGCCAATAATGTTCGATACTCGTAAGAGGTTTGAAGATACTCCATGGGAAAATTACGTACAGTTTTGGTGTACTCAGGGTAACACTATACCGTATTCTAATAGGCCCGATACTCGCTTCCTTCGTAGAAGCGATCGGATCATGATGACGGGACTGTGCTTCCGTGGATTGTGGTCTTTGAGCGCTCAATCAGAATGGAAAGTCCGTTTCTTGTTCTTCCATTCCGCAGAAAAGCCAGACAACCCACATGTTGTTAATGATTGGCTGTACAACGAGGAAAGTTATATTCCTGTTGGCGTCGAGCAATCTACGTATCCTGCGGTCGAAGGAACCGGAGGTACGGAAATGGTGTATCTTCCGTTTAGCTCTTGGGTTTCACGTCACGCACATTTGAATCACACCCGTCGGGATGAGATAATGAAGGTGGTTCCATATGAACATTCTGGGAAACCTGTCAGGGTTCTTTTGGATGTCACTCGTATATTCCGTAATCGAGGGTCACGTGCCAAGACTATTTCGTTTAATATTCTTAAGCGAATGCGTCACAAGTACCTTTATGAATCCAAATATGGCGCAGCAGGTGAACGTGCCTTCGGTGATATCCAATTGGGTAAAAGCCAACCGACAATGAAGCTTTACGTGATGATTCTGGCACATGCTTTAGTGCCATGTCCACGTATGGCTGATCCGAATCTTCCTCAAGAAGCCATGGCGGGCATCGAAGAATGGCCTATGGGATTACGTGCAGCGGCGCGTAGGGCTAGGAAATTGGACGACCCCCCACCAACTGGGGCAGTCGCCCCATCTGGACAAGTGATTTTTGCTGGCAATCAAATGACAATGCCAGAGTTAGCCGATCGGCAGGACTCTATTGTTCATCAGTCAGCAAGTCATTTCCGGCACGGGATTAGAAAGGAATATGAAGGCGGTCGGGAAGGGATGCCTGATGGCATAGCCGATTTACCTGACTACGATGGAGATGAATTTACGGAATATCAGCAGTCTTGGC